AAAAAAAAAAAAAAAAAAAAAAAAAAGGGTGGGGGGATGTTCCCTCTGCAGGAAACTGGTACTAGGCTGGCACCGGGAGGGCAGAGCCAGCTCTGACACCCTCCCTTTGGTGCCAAAAAATTAATTTCTTACAAAATGTTAAAGTTCAAGTCACAAAGTTAAAAGCACAAGGAAATACAGAAAGACCGGAGCAGGGGGCTACATAGTAGAGGATGGGGAGAGGGGTGGAAATGCAACTAAGTGGCACATGAAAGATGCAGGCAGCTAAGCTCGGGGTTGGGGAAGTAGGAAGGGGGAAAGGGAGGGAGGGGCCTCAATGCTTATGAAGCAGAGAATATACAGGAGACCTTGCACAACAATACCACATTGTAACAGATGATTTGGAAAACTCATACAGTTACAAAGAACAAGATGAGGGATACAATTGCGGGGTGGAGAGGAGTCCAAGGTTAAAAGTCCCTGGAGGCAATTTGACACAGTGGGGGAGAGCAGTCAGGTGGTCCCCGCTGAGTTGCTTCCAGCAGGCAGTCTAGTGGGGTCCACATACTGACACTGTCCCATGATGTGTTGTACATAATGTCCCTTGATCTTTGAATGGTGTTGGACAACATGAGGCACTACATCAGCTTGGCGTTGCAGCTGGCACACAGGATGCTCTTGTTGCTGGGGTCCCATGCCCTGAGCGCCGCAACAGTTGGTGGCTTGACAGTCACATTGTATCCCCAGGTCCTCAAGGTGTCTGCAATGGGTAGTATTTCTCTTGCTTCCATATTCGGGCCTTGATGAAAGCTTGCTGCCAGTTCTTGAACGGGATAGTGAGATCTACCATCACAACATGCTGGCTGTCTTTGTTGGTCACAACAATGTCTGGGCACAGCTGGCTATCACAACGTAGGACATTGCAGTTGTTGGACATGGTCTTGCTGCGGCCAGTGTGGCCGTGGCCAGTCAGTCCTGGACGACCTTGTTGCACAGTTGCCACACTGGTGTGGGGTGTGCAGGTGCACAGTAGATGGGGGAGAGTCTCTGCCTCATATCTGCAAGGGCAGCACCTCCTGTCATGGTTTCCATACTGTGCTGTGCCATTGAGTGGCAGGCACCTTTCTTGGGTATGAGCACCGTCATCACCTTCTTCTAGGAGCTGGGCTTGTGGTGGATTCCCTGCACCGGTTGAAACGCAGTGGCAGGACAAGGCAGCCTTGGTCTCTCTTCAGTTCCAGTCATGAGTGCGGGGCTATTGAGCATACAGATCCTTTGTGGAGGGTATCCGGAGTACACAGACATAAAGAGCAGTGGTGAACTGTGAGGTCACCGTGGCTTGAAACACTGCTGACCGCTGGGGCTCCACTCAACAAACTGTATGGTAAATCACGAGCCTTTTGGTTTTGAATGAGTCTCATGCACAGTTTAGCAGGCACGGGTTGTTAGAGATACAGTTATATACATTAAAAGAATTTTGAAAAAAAAAAAAGTTTGTACTACATGTAAGTAAGTAGAAAAGCGCTGTGCTAAAACTTGCAGAAGTTGCAAAAAAGGTAAAATGCATCAATTTTGGATGAACTAAGTCCATCGGTTACTATATACAAACTACTACCAGTAAGTTTATTTCAAGGTTTTCAGTGTTTTCAAGTTTTCTCCTCACTTAGCATGTGCTCAGGAAGAAGAAGGTCTGACAGTAAGGAGGGGGAAAAGGGTGCGGGGGGGAAGAAGTTGTGGGGAGGCAGTGGGCAAGGGGACTACCTGACCCTCCAGACTTATTTTTCCTGCTGTAACAGTGGGAGGGAGACAAATTCAAGGCAAATCTCCAATAACCAGATTATATACCTGGAAAGTTGTAACGCATTTATAGATTTTCCACGTAATCTAATTACTGGGGGGAGGTTGGCTTATAGTCAGGGTCATCTTATGTTTGAGTAAATATGGTAATAATAACCTGTAATGGGTGGTTTGGTGGTGAATGAATTCAGAGAACAGACACTGGGAGCTGTCCCAGAAGTTGAGCTGCTGATGCTCCCTTCCTGCTGTGTTCTTTAATTCACCTTTTTCACTGGCTCTTTGACCATTTGCTGAAGAAGATCTAAATATTTTTTTATAATATTAACTAGATCTTATGTTTCTCTTAGAAATGTCTTGTCAGTGGCATACGGCTTATATCTGGAAGATACCCAGCTCCTATACTCTACAGTGGTATAACATATAGAATGGGCAGGCCTATTTTAGAACTACATCAGGTAAGTTGATGGCTGAAAATTTATATTAATTGACAGTGTTATGCTAATAATTAAAGTGCTGGAAATGTGTACATTTCTGATTAAGTGGTACACTAGACCTCTGTATTCAGAGACGTGACTTGTAGCTCTGTATCAAATATACAGTCAGTTCAGTTGAAAAGATGTTCAGTTCAGTCCAGATGATAAGTCTCAATAGTGTGGCTCCAGTAGTCTGTCCAGTGACCATTGCAACGTTCTCAAGAGCAGACATGGTGTGGCTCATCAAGTTGTCAGTTTAACCATAGCAATATGAATCCTTGAAGAATAATTTTAATAATAGATAATAATAATAATAATAATTTTAATAATAAATAATAGCACTTGAAGAATAATTTTATTTTTTTGCTTGTCTGTGCACTTCTGCTGAACACATCACAAGATATATGGAAGGTCTTGATAGCTGTGTAAGGTTATGTTGTTCCTTCACCTGTACTGTTTGACCAGTTTCAGGATGCCTGATTATCATTCATCTGGCACATTCAAGACAATCCAACACTTGGTTTTTGTAAATCTGACTTTTGGTACTTATTAAATAAATTGTTTCTTTGGATTGTACAAACTGTAATAACTTTCTTTAGTTTAGATGTTATTCCTCTGGAGGAAGAAAAGGCTTTATATCAGGGTTTGTTGAAAACATCAAGCAGGAATTAGCCAAAAATAGAGAGATGAAAGAAAGTATTAAAAAATTCCGAGATGAAGCTAAAAGGCTAGAAGAATCTGAAGCGCTCCAGGAAGCAAGGAGGAAATATGTAAGTCTTCCCCAGGAATTCCTTTATTGTGTGTCATTTCCATTCACTCAGTAAGTAAACTGTTGTATTAAACAAGACATTGAGCAAATGAGTTTGTCATTTTAGGGCAACTGTATTCAGCATGGTAGCACTGATAGCTGTAATGCACTTGTGTAAAATTCTGTCTTCCCAGAAGGCATTTTACTGAATAAAAAGGTAAAGAATAAGCAGGTAAAAATGTGATGTGACAATATAAATAGAGTTGAAATTAAGAGTTTTTCTCATCATTGTGATTCACATTCTTAAAGGATTATAGAATTGCGTTAAGTATTTTTGCACTAGTGAGGAATAGATATCTTATGAATTAGACCTTCTTTTAGCCTGCATAATTGCCAGATTCACCATAGGGAAGAATACAGAAAAATATGTAAAAGAAGGAAGTAATATTCCTTGATTGCTTTATATTTATATAATTGCCTTTAAATATTTATTTGTTCTGTATTTTTCTATGCCTACATAGTTGATTGGATGTCTGTGAAATAATGTTTCCTATGCCACTTTAAAAATATATTTTGAAATGCATAGGGCTCTTGGTCATCAGTCCCTCTTCTGTGCAGTAAACTCTTATGAGTCCTGTCCAATTTCTTCAATACACTTCTAATGGAACTTCTGAAGCTAGCAAGTTACAGCTGACTTATTTTAGTTTGGGGATATTTTTCTTGTTCAATTTTTCCATCATATATTCTCCTTTTGGCATTCTTTTCTGTTTAGGGCACCCATTGATTTACACTGTATTGATTTAGGCCTGGATTTAAAAAATTGAGGATGATGTAATCAGTGATTGAGCACAACTGATACTAGTTTACTTCTCCTCCTATCACTGCATAGAGATAAAAGTATCTATACATCTCCTTTTTGTGGCGGAGTAACTAGAGCTGTTTTTTGGTCCTGTGGTAGCATGATAACCTGGAGAGTGCTTTACATTGGATTGTATGTATTCAGTTTTGTTCTTTCCATATGTAGTTGCCTAAAATCTTATTTTGCTGCAGAAAACCATTGAGTCTGAAACTGTTAAGACATCTGAAGTGATTAAAAAGAAGCTTGAAGAACTAACTGATACAGTTAAAGAGGTAAAGTAGAACTTTACAAAACCTCCCAGAAGACAGTTTGCTCATGTTTTGCCCTTTGTATTGTTAGCTTCCCTTACCTGTTTCTTCTAGTTAAAGTGAGGACCATGCTACTATTTATACATACCAAGGTAAATGAACAGACATTCAGTGAGAAATATTTGAAAATTCTTTATTGTGACAGCATAAAAGCAGATGTCCTGGTAATGCTAGTAGAGTAGACTTTGGCTATGATCTTATTCCATCTGCTGCATGTCTGCATCTACACAGTTGCTCACCCAAAAGATGCACTTAATCTCATCCCAATCCTGTTGTCTGGGGAGGTTCATAGTTCTCCCATTCTCTCTCTGGGCTCTGCATTTCCAGAGGCAAAAGCCTACTCGCCTCTGGGAGATAAATAATTCTTCTGTTCTGGTTCAGGATTGAGAAAGTCGTTCTCTCATGTTGTCCTACTTCCTGGACAAGTGACCTAATCGCTTGCCCAGGGTGGGTCTCTCTTTCCCCCCCCACCTCAGATGCTTGCTCAGTGTAGTATTTGTCCACCTAAGTAATTGGGAATAGAAGCAGAAGCTGGTCATTTCCCAAGCTCAATTTTTATCAGCAGAGCTTAGGCAAGAGTAAAGTGCTTCGGTGGGCTTTCTGGCTTGTTTCTGAACATGTATAGTAGATTAAGTCTAGTCACCTGAGGATTTTCTCAGGCTGAAATGAAAATGCATAATGAATTTAGGTTCCTTAGCTTTCGTGGCGGCTGAGTGGAGTGAAACAGGATTGTGTCTGCTTCAGTAAATGCCTAAAAGCTGTGTAAGTGCTGCATAAATGCCTTGGGGGCAAAATAAGTCAGCCATTGTGTTTTTGGATATCTGAACATCGGAAAATGTCTCAGGGCTGTTGCTTCTGTAGTTATGCTGTATACCAGCATGAAATTGGGGTGTCTCCCCTGGGAACTTGGTCAGAAAATCCAGTAAATTCTTCACTTCTGGCTTTTTTTTGCCAACAAAAATATCCTATAGGCTTATGCCATTATATTTCAGGCTTTACTCTCGTGGGGCTTGTAGCTAAACCAAGGTTTGGCAAAGTTCCAAGGCTTCCAATGGAAATCAGGTCTTGCACATGATAGTAACTGTGGTGATGTAGTTAGAGAAGCTGTTTTCTCTTGGTCAGCATTGAGTTAAATGTCCAGAAGCATTCTGTATGCTTGGGCGGTGCTGAACTCTCAGGTGTACTTCAATCAACAATAGAAATTAAGTAAAATATTCTGCTTTGTAGCCCACATACTAGAGATAAGTGTTTCTTACCAGCTTGTATAATAGTATCTTGAATCATCCAAATGTAGTGGAGGAAGAGGAGACCACCTAGTGGTACTCCTGGCAATTGCTTCTTCGTGAATTTGTATTTCCCTATCCACCCCAGCACCGCCTGCTGCCAGTGAGGCGCTGAAATGCTTATCAAGAGCATATGCTAAGCCTGCTGTGCTGGTTCAGAGAGCACACAGATATAGATGTATTTGGTAATTGCTATTCAGCAGTGTGGTTTTATATCTAACCAAAAGCACCTGCATAGGAACACAGGATTGTCAATGATTGGTGATAATGCTATAGCACCAGAGCACTGTGTCCTGCAAGTCATTCACCTGTGACATAACAGGTGCTTGTAGATGTGTGGGTGTCTGCTCCAGTGCGCTGTAATTACAGTGCGTCAGAGCAGGCTTGGCTGGTGCTAATTAGCACGCTCCAGCAGCCTTGGTGTCTTGTGTATTCAGCATTCCCATGCTTCAAAATGGCAGTGGAGGCGCTTTAACAAAAGCTCATTGAACAAGCTTTAGTTAAAGCACCCCTGCTGCCATTTTGAAGCACGGGATGCGAATACACAAAATGCTGCAGGTGCTTTAATTAGTGCAGCTCCCAACAGCCAGACTATTTAAAGTGTCATCCCCACCCCCACCTTGAAGCACGTGTAAAGACACCCAGTGTTTTTAACATATATTGACTATTGTTGCTACAGACCTTGACTCCATTTGCTATGTTTGCTGCTGCTTCATTGTTTTACCTGGAGGTATCCGAAATGCCAAAATGAAGAATCTCTTTCATATCCATGTGGAAAAGTCCATTATTTTAAATTTTTTCATATTCCTGTTTTATTGTAGGGTTTGGATGAAGTAAGTAAGAGTGATATTGGCCGGAAGATAAAAGAAGGTGTAGAAGAAGCAGCCAAGACGGCAAAACAGTCTGCAGAGACAGTGACCAAAGGAGGGGAGAAACTGGGCAAGACAGCAGCATTCAAAGCCATTTCTCAGGTATGCTTATGGATGACATACCTACTTGAAGGTGATATATTTTATTGGACCAACCACATGATTGGGATAGACTTAAACAAGTTTTCAAATGCAGTACATTCTTCTTCACACCTTGTCTAAGTCGATCCCAGCTGTGTGGTTGGCTTAATAAAAGATAACACCCACAAAAATCCTTGCATCTTTCATTGTCCTGAACTGTTGTGGCTACACATCATTCCAACAATACCTGCTTGGAGCCATTCCTGCAGGCACTGAGTCCATTAAAAATGAGCAAACGGGCTTCCTTATTTAATTGTTGATGCTTTGTGATGTGCTGTTTTCAGCCAAAATTGAATATGAAGTTTTCAGAGGAAAACCTGTTTGATATACAAGTGTTGCAATATTTTGAGAAATTACAGAGCCACAAGGTGCCAAGACTGGGTAATATTACCCAAGAACTTTGCAAAAATGTAAGCATCAAGTGTCTGAACTGCTACTAAATATGCTGTCTCTCTTGCAGATTGACTTATTGCTAGCAGAGCAGAGGGTAGCAAATGCACTTTGTTTATTGGAGCAAATGTTAATCACTAGCTGATTGGCATAAGAAGGAATTTATCTTTGGCCAGTTTCTCTCACTTATGCTGAGGTATCAGTGGTAGCCTCTTTCAGAAGGGCGCATTGGACTAGAAGGACAGTTGGTCCCTTCAGTGATGCAAATGTTCTTGTTTCTCTGTTCCTAATAAGATGTCATCTGCTAAAGGTCAGCTTCAGCCATAACAGCACCTCACATTATACAGTGGCATTTATGTAAGGAAGGTTGTTATCTTGCCACAGCAGATGCAGCTAACTCTTTTCAAGAACTGCCAGCTCCTTCTCTGAAGCAGGCAACTATTCTCTCCTTTCTGGCAGGCAATTATCTTGTAAGATTTGCTAACCTGGGTTTATACCAACTTTCTATGGGTTACACATAGTTTCCCCACATTCTAGCAAATGTCTTCATGCACTGTTCATCTTTAGTGGACTGTTTCAAAAGCCTTTTAATAGGCTGAACAATCCTCCTTGCTTCTCTTTACCTTTTTAAAGTGCAAAACAGATTCTTGTTCTTGGCTTAAAAAAAAAGAAAGGTAAATGTAGAGAATAACTGAGAAAAAATACAAATTTGAGTTGGTCTAATAAAAGATATTGGATTTACCCAAAGAAACTTGTCTGAGAATAAATAAGAATTCTAATATTTAAGATCTGTGTTACTACAGTATTTAGGAAACATTTATTTATTTGGACAGTCTACTGCTGGGTAACAATCATGGGGATTCAGAAGTCTTTTTCCGGCCTCAACAGCTCACAGAGTAGAGTAACCTTTGTAGTTACTGGAGATTGTCTTTAGTGGTTATAAACATCAAGAATAACTGAACCAAAAGCTCCAAAGTTCAACATCCAGTCTATGACTCCAGCCCAGGAAACACTCAAGCATCTCTGTAACTTTATCTTTGTGAAGAGTTCCACTGATTTCATTGGAGTTATTCAAGTGCAAAGATTTATTTAGGCAGACAAGGTTCCTTGCGTGAATCTGATATCTTTTATTAGACCAACTTAAATAGTTGGAAAGCAATTATTAAGCAAGCTTTCAGGTTCAAAAACCCTTTGTCAGGCTAAGGAAGTTTCTGCAGTTGGTGTGTGCTCTTCCTGGATGGAATGAAAAGTAAAGAAGCCAGAGGCTGGGCTGGTCTGCACACAAGACAGGTAGTCAGTGAAAATGTAGACTGAGGAGTCAATGGGTGAGAGACAGGCTTGGGGGAGGGGGAGAGAGAAGGGGGATGAATAGTGGAGAAGTACCTGGGGAGTCAGATGTCAGGCAGGTTATAATGTGTCATAAATCCAATGTCTATATTTAGTCCATAATTTTTAGTATCCAGGAGGTTGATGAAGTGGAGTTCATAGGCTCGTCTCTGGGAAGTGTTTTATAAGTTTCCTTTGAGGATCAGGACTGAGAGATTGGAGAGAGAGTGGTTTTCTTGTGAGAAATGTGCCCCCATAGGTAACTGGGTATTCCTGTCTCCGATAGATTTCCGGTGTGCATTCATTCTGGTGTGCGGTTGTTGTTTGGTCTCCCCTATGTATTTTTCCTCCGGGCATTTGGTGCATTGGATGCATTTCTGGAGGTGCAGCTGTAAGATCTGGGAATGCTGATGGCTCTGTTGTGGGGTGTAGTGATTGTGGGGGTGGTGGAGATGTGTTGGCAGGTTTTGCATTTCTTGTCATGGCATAGTCTGGATCCTTTAGGTGTGTTCTGGACTTGAGGAAGTTTGCTTCTGGTGATGAGGTTAGCGAGGTTTGGTGCTTGTTTGAAAGCTAGGATGGGTGGCTCTGGGAAGATCTTTTTAAGAGTAGGGTTTCTTTCTAGTATGGGTTGCAACTGTTTGAGGATTTTCTGTATGGGTTCAAGGGAGGGGTGATATGTCATAACCAGCGGTGTGCGATTTGTGGGGGTTTTTCTTCTGTACTGCAGCAGTTCTTCACATGGTATCTGGGTGGCTCTTTCAAATGTGTGATCTTTCTCTCTGGAGGAGTGTCCTTGGACATTTTAGTAACGTTTTGTAAGAGCCTATCCTGTGTGTTAAAAATGTTGATGGAAAATAATTGCCATTTACTGTGGTTTGCTATAAAATCAGAAATATCCATATTTTTTCAATGTTTTTATTTTAGGCAGTGAAACAGCACTATAAAGCTGCACACAACTTTGTCATTAGGTAAGATAAATAGGCTGGCTCCTACCTTGGGGGTCTCTAAGACAAGACTAGACAATCACCTTGCCAGGGTCGTTTGACCCCAGTACTCTTTCCTGCCATGGCAGGGGGTCGGACTTGATGATCTGCTCAGGTCCCTTCCGACCCTACTAACTATGAAACTATGAAACCCTCCTCTGTACACATGTAGATTACTAGAAGCTGGCTTTCTCTTATATATCACTTATATTAAGTGCCATCTTATATCAGAACGCATCCAGTGATGATTGGGAGTTACAATCCACTTGTCTTCTACTGAGAGTGTCACTGGAAGAATCTGGAACATCAGAAGTTTAATAAAGTAATTTAAGAAATAAATTAGTGTTGTCACGGTGAGCACGTGTCACTCGTATATGACAGGAAATGGGTTTAGTACCCAAACTTAAAACTGAGTCCTGCTCTCATTGATTACAGTGAGATGAGGGTATTGCCTCTTTTTAGCAGAGACTGAAACAGGGATACAGCTATGCAAAGATTTCTTGTATATCTGAGTCCAAGTTTATAGGAAAAAATTAAGTATGGACAAACATACATTTTGAGTAGCTACAAAAGAGGAGGAGTTGTCCCTGAGGTGCAGCAACTGTAATGCTGTAACACTTATGAATGATGAGCTTGTAGCAATATAGATATACCAAAAATTTCTCTGACTTTAACCCTGCCTTATCCAGGGTCAGAGTTGGATGATTTAGCACAAAGTCCTGTAGCAATACAAGTGTATGTCTAACTGTTTACCTTGTGATAGCTGTTGTGCACTTCCAAGAAGCAGATCCTCCTCCCTTTCTGAAGCTGTTCCAAGTGTATGTATGTTGACCCCCAACATCTCTTCCTTAACAGAAGCTCAGCAGGGAAGGAGAAATCCACCACCAATTCTGTTCTGTGGGATCACTAGCACTATTTAGATTTCTGCATACATGGAATTTAGCTCCACAAGCACTGATCCTGATTTTTGCTGTGAATAATTGAACTCCTTCAACCTTTTGCTCAAATGTATACTTATGGGGAATTGAGGCTTTTCCTTTATTCGGGTATGGAACTATAAAGTGAATATCAGCTTTGCAAATGCTTACTCTTTTGGCTGCTTCTCCCTGTCCTTAAAAACAAATGTTCTCCGTTACAGTCTTGCTGGTTTGCACTTGTGGAAAACCCGTAGGCCTTGTTTTGTAACTGGAATCTTCTTTTCTGTTTAGGTTTTCGGAATCATTTGTTCCTTAAAATCCAGCAAGTCCTTGATGCCTTTCAGTACTCACTCTTTTCAACTCCATATTCATCCCTCTGACCTGATTTGCCAGCATTTTCACTCTCTACTTGTAGGGTCTTTTGATTCAGTTAGTTTTCTGGATTCCTGTTCGTTGTTCTATCATAAGCTAGATCCAAACTTAAGTCTTTGGTACTTCTCCTGTCCAATTCAGGTAAATCTCCAAAAACAATACTTTACTCAGCCTTGCTGTAGGCACATGCATCTCTGACTGATATATACTGAGTTGCATTTGCTGACAACAGAGATCAATGTAGCCCATAGGCTCAACCTCAGTTTTCTGAAATAGGATCATTAGTGTTTTGTAGCAAATCCACTAACTGAATGTTTTTCTTTTAGGGAGTAGAAACAGTTAAGAAGGAAATGGATATAATAGGGCATACAGGTCCTTACAAACGTCCAGAGCGACTAAGGAAAAGGACTGAATTTTCTGGAGAGAGGCTCAAGGAGCAGAGAATATTTGAAGCTAATGAGTACGTACTGGATTAATCATAAAGAGGTCATTGCTATGTATGACCTGATGAGTGTTTTTAAGTTTGAACTATAAAGTAGTAAAGGTGGGCAACTTATGGGGGTGGGGTCAAGCTGCAGCATAAGGGATGGTTTAAGTGATCAACTTGCTCCTAATATTGGGCTCAAGCAGGCAGGGGTGGAGAACTGGAATTATTCCATTTCTAAGGAATGTGGTATTGGATTACTGCAGTAGCTGCTTCCTATTCAGAGTTGCTGCCAGCTCCTGTTGGAAAGGCATATTTTAATCCCTCTGTAACTTCTGTTTAGAAGATTGGGTTGGCTTGAACTTTCTCAGGTTTATTCTGAAGAGAAAAGAATATTTATGCAAAGTTTGAAAAGATGTATGAAATGTTTTATGAATTACAGAGCATTACAAAATAATATGTTCTCCTGACTTGAAATTTCAACTTTGCAATATTTTTTTCCTCTAGTAACTCATTTTATGAATGTCTTTGGTTAACATAACTTTAATAGGACCAAACCTGAACTCCTGATCTTTCCTCCAGACTCTTCGCACACACAGTTCAGACAGTGGATGTCTCAAGCAGCACCATTGATAGTACAGGATACTGCACAGAAAGATGTTTAGTATAGCTCTGTGTCCTTTTCTTCTGTTTCTGAGGACTTAGTTTGTGCATAAACTGCTAGCCTTTTGCTCTTCCCTAGGGAGGCCATGGGTGTGGTGGTACACAAGGATTCCAAATGGTATCAACAGTGGAAAGATTTCAAGGACAACAATGTGGTCTTCAATAGTAAGTGTTCCAGTGGTTAAGGAACAGAACTATTTTCTGTGATCTCCAACTCTTACAGTCTGGGATCTGATGCCATCTGTGCAACTAGTCTTCACGTAATGCAAAACATGGCCATTTTTGTTGCAGCTGTTAGTATTAGGTAGTGTTAAATGAGAAGTAGGCGTTGCTACTAACACAGTAGTTATTCCAAGCTTCTCCATCTGTTTTGGGAGACAATCCCAACCTTCAGCAGAAAAGTATTGTTTTACCACTCCATATTTAACAGGTACCAAAACCTGATTTCCCCATTGCCTATGAACAGAAATTGTAAGAACACTGAATTCTGAATGCCTCCTACTAACCAGACACTAAGGGTACAGAGAAGCAGATACAACATTTAAAATACTTGAAATGCAGTGCTTTAGCACAGCGTTTCCCAACCTTTTCCGTCCCATGGTACACTTACCTGGCCTTTTCCATCCCATGGCACACCAGCCGAACATGGAGTGGGCAGGGGGAGGAGGGTGGCAAGCGGCCAGATGGGTGGGGGCTGCAAGGTATCAGTGTGGGCCTGGCTACGGCGTAGTGGCAGCATGGGTTGGTGGCGCTGGTTGTAGCCACGCCACCCCCCAAATTCTGCAGCACGCCTGGACGTGTCCGACGGCACACCAGTTCACTGTGGCAGTTGGGAAGTGCTCCTTTAGCAGCATGCAGGCATACTCAGCCTCCCCACTTCCTGCTGGAGCACTGTTTGGTTCAGGTAGTCATGACCTGAGTTTTTCTAGGCCTGAAGGATACTGTCAGGGACAGTTCCCAGGGCTTTGACATTCATGCAGAGGAAAAAAATTACTTGTAAGGGCTACTGATAAGGATTAATGGTAAAGAGTGTTAATCTCTAATTTTAGGAAAGTAATGAGCAAAAATAATCGTTTGCTGAAACAGGAATATGCTAATTGTAAAAGAGGGATTTGGAAGGGACTTGAGAGGTTTAGAAGTGACCTATAAATACGATCTTACACTGAACCTTTTAATTACAATTTAAGAAGTACAAAAGTGAAATAGCTGAACACTGCTGCTGATCTCCTCTTTCTTGTTTTTTAGGGTTTTTTGAAATGAAAATGAAGTATGATGAAAGTGATAACGCATTCATTCGAGCCTCCAGGGCTGTGACAGACAAAGTCACAGATTTAATTGGTAACATTTCATTTTTGTGAAAGTTTATTACTGGTGTATAGCTATGACCATTGCCTTTCTAAAGGGAGGGTTAGTGCTGCTGCCATCAGTGTGTTACTAGCCTTTGGGAAGGAATCTGATGTTTTGCATCTGTGTATCATGTATCACTAAGTGGAGCAACAACCAAATCAGGGGGCGGAAAATAATGACAAGTGGGTGTAAGGGATAAAACTAAAACCCCAAGCAAAACTTATAGCATCTTCTGGACAGTTCATACCTACCTCTGTTAAAGAGTCAGCTCCTTCAATTCTCTCTCATCCTTGGTGATGCTTGTCATGCCAGTAGTCTCAATTAATTGAATTGAATTTGTTTTGACAGGTGGGTTGTTTTCAAAGACAGAAATGTCTGAAGTTTTGACTGAGATTCTCAAAGTGGACCCAGCCTTTGACAAAGACGGGTTTCTAAAGCAATGCGAGAATGACATAATCCCTAATGTTCTGGAGGTAATTTCTAACAGTGGAACATGATAATGGAAACAAGTGTCTCACGTTCTTATACAAGTTACAGACTTGGGGTATTCCATTTTCGAATGATTAACCTGGAAGATGGGATAGCTGCTGCCCCTCCAGCCCATGGTTTCAGCTTGGTGCATCTTCCAAAATAACAAAAGTTTGGCTAAGGAGAGAAGGCTCCCATGTGAGAAGTTAGTTGCAAATCATCCCACATGGGTTAGCAGTTTTTAGAAGGCTCTGACTGCTGGAAAACAGAACGCCTCTCTTACCTAGTGATGAATGTTAGGAACTCCAGAGGTTTCAAACCAAGCTAGATGAATGGGCAGTAAAGGGACAGCTGCACACTGTACTGCACACTGGAAGAAAGAATTCTAATTACTCATTTACACTGCAGTTCTAATGTTTAGGTAACTGCTTGTGGAAAAGATGCTGGCACTGCAAATGGATTAGTAAAAGTAGCTGCTGAACAAAAAATGTAGGTGTTGTTAAAGGTTTAGAAGTAACATCAATATCATAGTACCACTTATTTCAGTAATGGTGTGCCTTCACTTGTGTGAATATTGTGTTATCACCTGATGTTAAAAAACATAGCAGAAATAGAATGGGGCTCAAGTATGGGTGGCAAGAGGAATTACAGGAGTGACTTTAGGAGAAATTTGAAAACTGGAATTTTCTGAAGAGAATGAAGTGTTCATGCTTTTTTTACAACATGTCTATACCCTATCTCATAATCAGGGATCTGGGTTTTCTGTTTCCCATGGAAAAACAGCGTAAAATGCAGATTTCCCCCTTTACCAAAGGAACCTGTGGATTTCTCATTATAGCAGAGAAACCTGGAGATTTTGCAGTTTTGCAAAGAGCTGTCTGCAGTGGCAGAGCTCCAGCCTGCAAAGGGCTGGGAGGGAGTGGGAAGAGGGTGGTCAGGCAGAGGGTGCACATGTATATGCACAGGGCCTCCAGGCAGCCTGGAGAGCAGCTCCTACAGTAAGTATGGGATGGGGGGAGGATTAAAGCCCCCATAGGGAGGGAGGGAGGAAGTTGGGCAGTGCTGGGGCTGGGGCTGCTGCCCATGTCGGGGGCAAGTGGGGCTTGGGGCCCAGGGCCACAGTGCATAGTAACAGGGCTCTGGTGGGGAGCAGGACAGAGCCAAGGGCCGCTCATTAGTTACTGAGTGATGAGCACGAGCATGGCCAGCGGGGGTTGTGGGGGGACTTTCATTTTAAGCACAGATTTTGGGGGTTTTATCAGAAAATTTGAGATTTTTTATCAGGGAAAACAAGGATCCCTGCTTATGATACAAAAACAGAACAGTGGAATTATTTTGTATTACTTACAAGACATTATTTTACAATTATATTTCAATACACTAAACTCCAATAGTAAAAGGAAGCTTTTAAAATCTGTTTCATTGTATATGTATGGAGTGCATAGCCCTGAAGAGGCCTTAGGGAAAGATAGTGTGGGAAAGCAGAATATTGTGGGATTGTGGAGGGTAGGAGACCTGGCCAGATGTTAAATTTGTCCTGGCATAACAAAGCAGTTAATGTTTGAATCAGCAACTTCTGTATCACGGATCCAGTGTTTTTGTAGTAGCTTAGCAATTTTTTCCTTGGGACAGATTCTTTTAACATCTGTGTTACCATTTGTTGCGGGAAACCTATATATATACCACAATAAATGTAACGTCTGGAGGAGAGCATCAAGGCTAGAGACTTAGGAAGATTCAAAGAATCTGACGCTTGTTAAGGATGATGCCTGTAGTGGCACAGTTGTGTTTTGGAAGAACTGCCCTGTGGTCACATCTGCACTGTGGAGTGACTGGATTAGATGAGTATCTCAAACTAATTAATCACATGGATTGTGCTTATCATGTGGACAGAACTCGAAACAAAATAATATACGAATTGTCACTCTGAATCTCCCCTATGTTTCCTATAGTCTAGCTGTCCTCCTCCTAACAATGGTGGGAGCAAAATGCTTCATGAAAGCTGTAAAAACCATGTGTTGCACTCTTAAAGAAGAAACCTCTCCTGGAAAAGGTTTGTTTTTTTAAACCCGTGGGACTTCTGCCCTGATGTATGAGTGATTTTTTTTTTTTTTTTCTTCTTGTTTCTACTACAAGACATCCTGCCTAGTGTAATTATGGCTGGGTTTTTTTCATATTCAGGTTTAATTGCCTTTCTGAAACTGTTAGTTGTTTGGCTTCATTATATTGTATCAATGAGTTGCACATATGCATTATTCATTGTCTTCAAAATATTCTTCTATCAGCTACAAACAACATATTGCCCTTCATTTTCACTCAGTGGCCCACTGTTGATCTTTTGCCATGCTGAAAATTGATTATTTATGATTGTTTACTACTTGTTTCTGCTTCTGCTAAAATATATCTCCTGAAATATGAGAGCTGGACTTTGGGTATAAAGATAATACTTTAATTATCTAAATATCTGTGTCCATCTGAAATAATGTGACTGTATACATATGTCTTTGCTTCATGTTGCTTGAGTATAGGATTTTGCCTTGCCCCTCATTAGGGCATGTTAGGAGTAAACACTTGTGGCCTAAGGTTGGATTTAAAGAAATTCACTTTTTAAAGGATATCCAGACAGATATTTTAGTGGGAGACCTTAAGTTTCCTTTGTATATTTTATTTGTTACTCCTTTTTTAGGCTATGATATCTGGGGACCTTGATATCCTGAAAGACTGGTGCTACGAAGCAGTAAGTATATATTAATAATGCATCTGAAAAGGTGGGTTCTCCTCTGCCTCCGGTTTGTAATTGTGGGCCTGTAATATTCCCATGATTAGGTTTGGGAAATAGATCAATGTAATAGTTGTGTTGGTATCATATAATAGTTATAAGCTGTTATGCTAGCTCTACAGTCTCATGCTGTAGCCGTACAAATATAGCAAATCTGCAACTGTAACAGTTTTATTCAGGATTAAATGTATTGGTACAGCAATTTAGCTTGCTTGTACTGGTACAGTTGCATGCAGGTGTAACGTGTATATTGTAACACCTGAGGCCAGATTTCTAGTGGCAACTCTGCCACTCCTTTTGAAACAGTTAAAAGTAACATCACTGCATGGTGGCATTCCTTCCCTTCTGTGAGCTGTCCAGCCACCCTCTCCACGGTATTGCTGTGAGTATTGGTTTTTGCTTCAGTCACTCCTTCATTTGAGTTTTCCCTATATCTTAGCATGTTCTTGAGTGCCATGAAATAGTAAACAAAGGGGATGCTTTTGTTTTCTCGGGTACATTTAGTGCATGAAATTCCAATACATGTAAATGGCATTTGTCTTCTGATGATGGGAGTAACATTGAAATCCCATTTTAGCTTTGTTGAAGCAAACTCCTGCCTAAACTAGCACTGAAGGAGCAGGTGTAAATGTATTTCTTCTCTCCACCCTTCTCCAAACTAATCTGACACTTGGCAGCACAGAACTGTTTTTAAAAAATTATTTTAATTGTTAATCATTTCTATTGCTTTGAAGTTGCATTAATTTCCACCACAAGGGGGCTGGAAATCAGATGAGACTCTGCAAGGGATCTTTAACATTTTGAACTGGGCAGGTCTGCAGTCTCTCTTGATTATTTGTGTATTTGTTCTGGGTAAACTCATCCTTCTAATGAGGATAGTGTATAACATCAGGCTTTTTCAAGCATTCTGAGAGGTATCTGTACTGGCTTGTGCATTTCTCTATTAAACAGCTGATCAAATCAGCTTTCTAATTTATAGAGTAGACTTACCACAGAGCCAGGAGTAGTTATAAGCAAAGGTTGTCTGTCTGGTTTTTTTTTTTTTAATGGGTTTTATTTTAAAATTAAAACTAGCTTAGTCCAGAGATCTGCAAATTAAGTTGAGAAATATGGAGATTATTGTACTAGGGTCCAGGATGTTAAAGAGTGTCTCATTCAAAATTGTTCCAGTCCTTATTTATAGCAAATCAGCACCATGTAATAAGGGGAGCAGGGAAAATAACCATTCCCATAAATGGTCTCAAGCTGTCACGGCATGTAACAACAACAAAAGGGCAAATCACGCAGTCCAAAGGTTTTAGGACTCTGGTTTAGTTTATGCTAATGGGCTTAGTCAAATTAAAATTCTAATCTGCTAATCAGTTTAGTGCAGATGCTTGAGTGTATATACTCATCCTAATACATAAACGATAGAGCTCAAACCAGTTCTGAGAATACTTGAATACGTATACTACAGGTCCAGAAGTACAGGCCTGAATTTGTTACTTTCCCTGCTTTCTCTCCCTGCAAAATGTTTCTCATTGTACTCCCATTAAAGCCCAGTCTCCACCAGTTTGTGGAGGATATTTGTATTTTTAGGATTTAGGTTTATAAGGTCTTCAAGCCAGTGACGGTGCCTCCCATTTTATTTGACAATTGCCTAGTACTTTGTTGGTTCTACAGGAAACAAATAGTAATTCAGCAGCCGGGACAATAGTTCTGGATCTATAAATAATGAAGCATATGTCTGTGTGTCTAAATAGGGGCCAGAAAAAACTGGGCTAATCTCCAAGGTCTGACTGTGCTGGGAAAACGGTCTGCTTTCCAGGCTGTTTCTCCCTGTGTGCTGTCATATTAGAACCACAAGTGCTTTGGCTATCAGGTGTATTTAATACATATATTCTGTGCCCTTAATTGTATGCCTGTTGTTCTGTCCAGTTGCATCCCAGAGGGAGTCTCAGTGGTCATAGGGTTGTAAGACCTCAGAGCATGTAATGCAACCATAATGATATTTTCCATTCAAAGGGTAAACAACTTGTTTGCAAAAAAATTAGACTGTTCAGTGTTTATTTTGGTCTTTTTTCTTTTGAAATATTCTCAGTAAGAAATCTCCCATCTCCTTTGATTTTATTGGTATGCTTGGAGATGAACATTTAAAAAAAAAATAACCCGTGTTTATGTTGCTTTGCTTAGACGTACAGTCAGCTTGCTCATCCAGTCCAACAAGCCAAAGCAATGGGTCTCCAGTCCCACTCCAGGATCCTTGACATTGATAACGTTGATGTAAGTCTCTGATTTTGTATTTCTTGCAGCATGGACTATGTTTTGACCTCTGGGTATAGATTTTTCTTATTCAAGATTTTACTTGGTGGTTGTATTGCTGTAGCACCTAGAGTTTAATTAAGAGTTTACTGAGAAAAGACCCCTGAACAGCCAAAAGCTGCTACCAGTTGCGCAGTAGCTGCGACAGGATTAAAGCATTAGCTGCAAGAGGAATTGATGCTGATGAGTAGACTGTTCTGATTTGTGAGGCTGTATTCAAGCATGGTTCTGGAAAAAATCTCTTCATTCTGCATTTTCAAAACAAGGTGCCTGTCTTATTTGAAGGCACATGGTATATGAGAAAATCTGGTTTATGGAATTCAGGGTTAGTCCAGTCTCAATAGCCTGAAACTAAGTACAGCATAACCTCATAAATCCGGCATGCTCAGGACCAAGCACCTGCCGGAAATTTGAAAATTCTGGATTTTTGAAACAAGCAGCAGCCGGTTGTGGAGCTGGGGGGAGGGTGGGAGCGAGCAGTGGCCATATGCAGAGTGGTGACATGGGGTTGTGGATGGTGGCGGTGGCCGCTGTGTGCAAGCTTCCCTGTCCGCATCTAGTGGGGGAGAGGGAGCAGTGGCCAGTCCCAGAGCAGTGGCTGCACGCGGAGCAGGGTGGTGGATGGCAGCAGCAGCTGCCACATGCGAGCTTCCCCCTCTGCATTCATGGGGGGGAGCAGAGGGGGAAGCTTGCATGTGGTGGCTGCTGCTGCCATCCACAACCCTGCATCACCACTCTGCGTGTGGCCACTGCTCTGGGTTCCCCGATGCAGTGTACAGTATTTTTTTTAAAGTGCCAGATTTTCGAGAATTCCAGATTTTTGATATTCGGATTTCTGAGGTTACTGTCTTACTGCTCTTCAGGGTACTGTCTCCTGTCTTCTGTATGGGATAAGCTTCCTACACATTTCTTTATGTCTAAAATATAGCTTTATGGTACGTGGATGTTTTCACCTCCTTGGGGGCTTTCCCCAGCATCCAAACTTTTATTGGTTATTGTGGTATTTTATTCTTTCTAATCAAAAGTAGCACAGTGAGGCAGGCACTAGTGAGAGAGTCTTAATTTGTTTCTTAGCAAGACAGGAGGTCTTTGGCCTGCTTCTGGCCTCTTCCACAGAGAGGAATGTCCCCAAAGGATTCACTAGTCTAACTAGACATTTTTGTTGATCTATTTGGCCACTGGGGACATATTTGAAGGCGTCACTTCCACCTCTGATCAGAGTCTTGGTTATAGGACTCTAGGAACCCCTTCATGCCATGGTGTAGATTTAGGCCACGTACAGGCGTTATGTGAATTGTTCATTTAGTTTCTCGTAGGGAAAAACGTGTCCCTTCTGGGAGGAAGATTTTCCAGGTGTCAACTTGGAAGATGTCCCTTGTGAGAGAGACCTCTTTTGCATGAATGACCTTTTGTGCATTCCTTTAGGGCGATTAATTAGAAAGACTCAGCACATTTGTGCAAAGGGCAGTGTTAGTGTTTATTTTGTGTGGTAATTCAGTTAATCAAGGTCATGCAATACAAGAAAGCCTGTATTTGAGAGACCTGACTAATTTTTTGTGGTTCTTGATGCAAGGAGAGTTTATTGTTATAAGAGAACCCATTGTCCTGTTAGTTTAAATACTGATAGCTCATAACATTTGCCAAATGTGTTCATAATGTGAATGCTCTATATCTGTGGTGCTCAACCTTTTTGCCCAGGGCTGGAGTGGCAGTACCTGGTCCATCCCTGGGCCAGATCCAGCCGGTGTTCCCAAGCTGGCGCCTGGGTGGGGGGCAGGCCGGTCCTGTGCAGAGGGAAGGAGACATGGTGTGGCCCTGCCCTGCACGGGGACAGAACAGGACAGGTCCCAACATGGCCTGACAGGAGGAAGGGGGACATGGCCAAGCCCTGCAAGGGAAAGGGGGTATGGCCCAGTGCTGGGGGAAGTGACATGGCCAGGTCCCAACCTGGCCCCAGTGGGAGGGAAAGGGGGCATGGCCCAACCCCAGTGGAAAGGGAAGGGAGCATAGGCCATCCCTGCGGGAGAAGGTGGCATGGCCTGGCCCCAGCCTGGCCTCACGAGAAGGGAAGGGAGCATAGTTCAGCCCTGACTGAGAAGCAGGAGAGGTGTGGCATGGCTCTGCAAGGGAAGGGGTTTCAGTCTGGCCCTGCCCAGCCCCGACTGGCCATGCAGGACTTGGGGTTTGGCAATTTGATAGGGGGGGAAGTTTTTTTTATATCCCAGTCACCATCTCTCCCACTTAGGGATGTCACTCATAGAGCAGATCCCTTAGGAAAGTAAATCAGTGGAAAAATGCATTTATGGGCTGACCTTCTTAAAAGGCAAATCCAGTGTTTTCTTTTGGGGTGGAGATGCTAAAATGTATTAATGGTGCAAAACAGGAAAAATGTTCAATAAGTATTTTATCTACTCTGGGAAGAGGTAAGATGTGCTTGTTTCACTTTAGAGTGATGAAGTACTTTCCAGTCCATTTGTAATTGAGGAGGATATTAAGTTTGTTAGGGAGGAATATTTTAGAAGCAATAGGCCTAGACAACGTGCCCCCAGGGGCCCTGGAAGAGCTAGTTCATAAGATCTTTGGCCTGTTGGTACTCATGTTTAATATCCCTTAGGATATCAGGGAAATTCTGGGTATCAAAGAATGCTAATTTTGTTCCAGAATTAAGAAAAGAGAGCAGGATGGCTCGAGTTGCTGTACGCTGGTTAGCTTGTCATCAGTCCTGGCAAACTGATGGAAAAGGAAGGTACAGGATTCAATTTATAAAGAATCAAGGGCAGGAATACAATTAATGCCAAGCATCCTGATTCTTGTCAAGCTGTACTTTTTTCTCTGAGGACATCACACATTTCACTGATAAAGATGGGGTAGAAAAATCATACGTAAATATTTATGAGGAGTTTGGCTTAATACCATGCTCTGTTCTGACTGAGAACATTCACCACTAGATTCTTCAACAAAGCGCACATTCAGTAGATTAACTGACTGTCTCAGTAAGTAGTCATCAAAGGGAAACCATGAAATGGTAATGTTTCTAGTGGTGTTTTTCAGGGCTTCAGTTGTGTCAGACCTAATGCCAGCAGTTTCACTGGTGATCTGGAGGGAAATATAAAATCACTGCTAATACTTGTTAATGAGAAACTGATGTTCTGGCAAATCACTAGCAGTTGCACAGGGCAGTTTGGACCACTTGATAAGCTGATCTCACTCGAACCAAAAAGGAGTTTTGATGCATCCAACTGCATCCACTTGTTGTTTGTTTCAAAAAGGGAGAGGAAATATTAAGGTCTAAAAAACTCCTTAATCTAGTAGAGTAAATCAACAAATCATGGGCATAAGCTGAAGTCAGGCAAATATGAATTGAAAATAAGACATGCTTCACCAGCGAGGGCGATTAACCATTGGAACAAGCAACCAAGGACTGCGGTGGAGCGGTCCGCCTCCTGATGTCTTCTGGATGCCTTTCTGGTAGTTATGCTGTATCCAAACACAAGTTCCTGACATAAGTAAATGGGTAAATGGGCAGCCATTGATAGCCTGTGTTAAATAGTGTCATAGTTTCATAGAGTCGGAAGGGACCTCAGTGGGCCATCTTTTCTTGGACTAGAGTCACCAGCCCTGGGGTCATGTGATCCCAGCCAGGTGCCTGTCCAGTCTCCTCTTGAAGACCCCCAAGGATGGGGCGAGCACCACCTCCCTTGGGAGCCCATTCCAGATTCTGGCAGCCCTGACTGTGAAGAACTTTTTCCTAATGTCCAGCCTGAACCTTTTCTCTAGTACCTTATGGCCATTGTTCCTTGTCGTTCCAGGGAGTGCCCTGATGGACAGATCATCACCGACTTCATGTTGCTCTCCCCCTATGAATTTGTACGCCACCACAAGGTCCCCTCTCAGCCTTCTCTTGGAGATGCTGAAGAGGTTAAGGTCCCTTAACCTTTCCTTGTAGGGCCTTCCTTGCAGGCCTCTAATCAAGCAAGTGGCCCTTCTTTGGACCCTCTCCAGGTTGTCCGCATCCTGCTTAAACTGCAGTGTCCAAAACTGGACACAGTACTCCAGCTGTGCCTACCTCTGCCTCTGGATTATGCCCAGCAATACCACTGCACCCCTAGCAGGACACCTCTTAACTCCCTGGGCTTCACTTCACTCAGATGGGCTGAGTTCATTTCCCCAGCATGACCGTCACGCTGGGGAAATGAAAGCCCAGCTGCGCTGAGTTCCCAACCCCAGCCTGATCGTAGGGCTGGAGAGAGAAACTGAGCGATCGGGCTCTGTTCCTTTCCCCAGCCTGATCGCAGCGCTTGGGAGGGGAACTGAGCCCGAGTTCAGTTCCCTTCCCCTGTGCTGTGATCGGCTTCCTGCAGCCCAGGGGCGGGAGACGGGGTGAGCCAGGGCTGTGTTCCCAGCTGGTGCTGGGAGCACAGCCCTGGTTCTCCCCTGTCTCCCACCACCTCGCTGCTTGGAGACTCAGAACATTTCCACTAGCCTCGTTTTGTTTTGAGGGTGTTTCGAAGCCCGTTGTTTCAATTCGCTGTCGCTGTTTCGAGTTTGAAATGAGTCAAAACAGTGTCGAATCAAAACAGCTGGCAAAATTTCGCACAGCCCTAGTTGTTATACTATTTAATTGCATCTTGTTAGTGTGAATTTTAAGTTAAATTCAAGTAGAATCTAACAGGAGATTTGTTTAAGCAACTTGGTTTGTTCATTATAAGGGGACTTAAAGTTGTTTAATTCACTCTAAGTCCTGAGTTCCAGGTAAGGATAAAAGTTAAGACTGTTTTTACTGCAAGAATGACATACAAGATATGAGTTAATCCTTATTGGGTGTTACCTGGGGCGCAATCATTTAGCTTGCCTAGGGAAGACTCCCAGGACTCTTGTACACATGCAGGGAGGCTGCTCTGACATGCTGTAACTACAGCACATCAGAGCGGAGCGTGGCAATTACCAAACTCCAGCAGACTCCACAGTCACATGTATCAGTGTTCCCACGCTGAAAAATGGTGGGGGGGCACTTTAAACTAAAGTTTGTTCGATGAGCTTTAATTCAGAGCACCCTGCCAGCATTATTCAGTGCGGGGATGCTGATACACGTGACACTTTGGGCATTTTTAATTAGCACAGCTCTCAGATCTGCGCTAAAATGCTCCCCACTTCCCCCTGCCTCCCAGAGCACGTCTATAAAGCCCCCAGTTACCTTTTGCAAACTGTTTTGGGTCAGACTAGATGTTCTACTAATGATCATTTCTGGCTCTGAAGTCTACTAATCTCTTTCTGTGCCCAAAGATGGGAGGCATGCATAGTTATTACAAAATAAGCTGAATGGGGCTGTGGGGTACTGTTATGTGGGGAAGACTCTGAAACAGTTTTGTTTTCATCTCCAGGCTATAAATAGTTACAGATTTTCGAAATGGCTTTGACTTATCAAATATGTTACAGGTTCAGTGACCCACTGCTAGCTCTTAAGTTCTCCTGTGGTGCTGTGCCAGTGGCACACTGCTGGCAGTAATTTCAGCACTCTTCAAATCAGAGATAGCATAAACACACGAATTGCATGTTAACTATCCCAAATCTGTTAAAGCAGTTTCCCTGGCTGCAGGAACCAAAGAGGGGAATGAAACCAACAGTCTCCTCCAGCACCCTTACTTGCAAAACCAGTGTGGTTTGTGTAGATCAGCAATCGGAGAGAGCTATAATTGGAGTAGCATACAGTGCTGAAAGTAACGGCTGAAAGATAGTAGTTATTTTGGGCTGGATTGGAGGAACAGGGGATTGTGATGTTTGGCAGGGCTGGGCTGTGGGGAGTTAGGACTGTTGAGGGCTGATGTACCTTTTCTTGAACTCGGTGAGTGCTAGATGTTTTTTCAAAACAAAAGGAAATGGATTTCGGGGGGGAGAGGGGGGAGCATGCTTTTACTAAAGCACAGTAAGTCCATTAGTTGCAATTAAGACAGTTTTAAAGTAGTACAGGGTAGCTGAAGTGTGACAGCAGCTGTTTTCAGAGAAAGTGTTTGACTTCCTCTACGCTTAACCTTGGATGAGCACATTTTTTGTAAACCAGACAAGACCACTCCTTCAGTCCTAGAAAGACTGTACCTTTCCATTTTGTTGTCTTTGTATCTTATGGCCTCCTGAGATACCATATGCTTCCCTTTCCTCCCACAACTCCTCTGAAATTCAGAGGAATGAATCCCTTTCTGAAACTTAGGGAATTAAATGCAAGTGCCAAGCAAACAGCAATGTGCCCATTGCAGCTGCAGTTCCCTTGATAACCTTGAGCAATAAATAATGACATAATCAACTTTATTGCTTTTTTCCCTATCTTAGCTAATTTAAGAGCATTCAATATTAAAGTCTGTCCAAGAGACATGACTTCATTGTATAATTGAATAATTCCTGAATAATTCCTCCTCCTCCCATTTTGAAGTAGTGCACTTAGAGTAGCAGTACTGAAGTGGTGGCTGACCTAATTTTTAACCAGGGTTTTCAGCCATTTACAATTTCCTTGAAATATTACCCTCTGGGGTAAAATGTTTTATATTCATTCATAGGCCAAAGTTGAATTTTGGTGAGGGGGAATTAAAAACAGATTCTTAATATGTTATCTGAGTTATCGAAATAGAGTTAAAAGACATGTTCTCATTCTTCAGATCCTTTTCCACATTTGAAAACACCTACTATCAGAGAGACTATTGGGGGTCGGACTAGCTGATCTACTCAGGTCCCTTCTGACCGTAGAAACTATGAAGAGACGACCCGAGCAGGGTGCAGGGCCCGGGGCAAATTGGCCCATGCGTGGCCCCGCCTCCGCTCCGATCCTGGATCCAAAGAAGCTGGATGGGGAGAAAAGGGGATAGCAAGCGGCTGGACGTGTTGCCACCACTTTGCCCAGCTCCGCGCTGCCACTGCTTTGCCCCACGCTGTGGGGCCTGGGGCGGTTGCCCCAATTTGCACCCCCAGGGATGGCCCTGCCTACTGTATTGAAAAAGGTTTATGTTCATACATTCAGTGTCCTCATCAAGGAAGGTGACTTAGTTAAGAAAGAGAGAGAACATTTAAAAGGTTATACATGAATAAACATGTCAAATTACCATATTTATCTGAATCCAAGATGACTTTGAATTTGAGGCAAGTTGCAATCAAGGATGTCAACTTGGGTGAAATTTTTCTAAACTATTTAAGTTATTCCTGTACACTTGAAAACTTTAGCCTGAGTCATAATATATTTTCTTAATGGAACAAACTTAATTTTGTTTTATATCTTTTGTGTTTAATTTCACAGGTTTTTAGAGGGGTGAGAGATGAGTCAGTGGAAGCCTCCTGAACTTCCTAACTGATTAAAAATGCCTTTATCAAGTGCAGTGGGGCTTACTTTATTAAGAGCTATTACTAAATAGATGGAAAGTTTCAGACTTATAGTTGCTTTTGAGTGGAAAATATACTCACCTTAAGAGCAGGACTGTTTTTAAGATGTCTCTAATTCATAACAGTTCTTATTCTCATTTCCAAGAAGTTCAGCTTCAGGCCAGTAAGAATTAACAGATTTAGTCCACAAAGAGCTGCTTTTAGAAAGCTTATAGGCATATGAAAACTTAGTTAATTAGTGAGAGAACGTTTTGTGATATTATCTATAGCAATTATACAGGTACAACTGTTATAACTTGGTAAAGTAGCCGAAGTCAGCCTTGAGGAGCATAAAGGGTTTGTGACTTACTTGGCACATCTACACATTCATTAGTGCACCGTAATTAAGGTACAGGAAACCCCCACTATTCGCAGCTCTGGCATTCGTAGTTTTAAATATTCGCAAATGCCTAACCTGCTTCTTAAATACACTTACAAGAGCTCTTTGGGAGCTCTGCGCTTGCCGTCGCCAGGCTCCCGCTGTCGCCAGAGCAGCCGTACCCCCCCAGCCGCTAGGGGCACTGAGTTCATGATCGCGGATTTTGCCATTCTCGGGGGATACGAGAATGTATCCCCCGCGAATGGTGAGGGTTGCCTGTACTAACTTAAGGCACTGTAATCAGTGCTACTGCACAGTAGCACCAGCGCATACTTTTTTTGTGATGCTAATGCGCAGTAGACTTAGCTCATTAGCACAGTTTTTGCTTGCCACGCTAATGCTCAGTAGAATCAGTTTACTGTGCATTGTAGCATCTCATCATAGATGCGCCCGCAGTGCCTAATCACTTTAGAGACTCCTGACACTGTTTACATTAATATGAAGACAGTCTCCTTTTTCTAATGGGCAAATTTTCTCTCATTGCAGTTGGCTATGGGGAAGATGATGGAGCAAGGACCAGTATTAATTATCACTTTCCAGGCCCAGGTTGTTATGGTGATTAAGGATCAGAAAGGGGAGGTGGTAGAAGGTGATCCGGTAAGTGATGCTTACATACTGTGTGTTTAAAAATGAGCCAGCCAGTTGTCCATTCCAGTGGAATTGTATGTTCTCATTTTTAATGTAATCTAATCGTGGTGTAACAAATATCTACAGTGGAAGCCCGGCTAATTTGTATTTATTTGTGTCTCAACACAGTTATCATATTGCTCTAGCCAGAGGTCTAGCTGTATGGAACCCTCTATCTTTATTGAACCCTCATTACATTGGTCTGGTTGCTAAAACATTATGAAATATCATCAGTAATTAAAGCTTGTCAAATAAGCAAGTGTGCTTTGTGATGCAGCCTTTGCCTTTTATTTAGGAAGTTCACTTGTCAATTAACAAAGTTTTTGTACTCTTATTGTTCCAGAGCTCAGGCACTAGTGCTGCTGTTTTTCACAGAACCATAGAAAAGTAGGCCTGGAAGGGACCTCCTGACGTTATCTAATCCAACCCCCTACCCAAGGGAGGATTGTCCTCAAACTATCCCATGCAAGGACTTGTTTAATGCATCCCTAGAACTATGCAGTCAACCCTGTCATGCAACTACAAGGCATATCACCCAAAGACACCAAAAGCACCTTAACTTACCACAGGTAAAGCAGGGGGCAACAGTGTCCTGCTGCTGCAAGGGCTGTTAAAATACACTCAAGAAATGAAGGACGAGGGTCTCTAGGAACAGAGATCTAGAGAATGGAACGGGTGCTTTTAAAAACAAAAGCAAAATAGACAGGGAAGTATTTGGAAACGTAAGGTCTTTGGGAAAGATGAGAGCCTTTAGAAACCATGTAAATGTGACTGGTTAAATCAGGAAAGTGTAGCAAGCATGGGAAAAGTCAAAGGAAATAGCAGTTGATCCAATAATTTACACATCGGTGAAATCTTAAAACAAGTGAGAGAATCCAGTTGCTACTTCCGGTCCACTTCTGGGTCTGCCGGGGAGTGTGCTGGGCGGACCCCCAGCCCCGGCTTGGTGATCAGCTGCAGGGGGTCCTGGGTGCCCCCCCACCAGACCCAGGAGGCACCAGTCACGGAGCCAGGGGGGTGCGAGGGGTTCCCCCAGAGCGCTCCCTGGCAGACCTGGAAGCAGACCAGAAGTGGTTCTGGTCCACTTCTGGGTCTGCTGCTGAGCACACTGGGGAGCCCCCTGCGCTTCTGTGGGACACTGCGTCTGCCCCACCATCGCATCACTCACGAGCCCCTGCTTCCTAGAGGTATGTAGAAAAAACGTTTAAAGCTGTCTCTATGTCTGAATCTTTCCAATTCTCTCCAAATTGATTTGGAAGGTTCTGATTTGATTCAGAGAGATTAAAGGGTCCTCTGATCTGATTCAGATTTGGAGATTCAGCCATCGAATTGGGCCAAATCTCCACCGAATCAAATCGGAGACCGAAGCTTGACACAGCCCTAATGACTGGTTACTCCACCTCAGACTACTATGCCAGTTCATTGGAAATCCTAGAGGAAACAGGGCAAAAACTCCTGGGCAGCACTGGGAAGCAACAAAGAGTAGAGATATTGTTTGGAGAAGGTTAGGATGCAATGAATAGTTTACTAGTTCACCACAGATCAGCTTTTGCATTTGTAATTAGATCTAATTGCATTTGTAATTAGATCTGTTAAACAGTGGGAGTTCACTGAATAAATCTCAGCGGTGATATATGCCGAGTGTGAAGTAAGTATGAATGTTCTATCTATTTTGGTTTCAGTGCAAGGAGGAATGTGGTCTGCTGACTGCGAAAAGTCTCTGCTGCTTGGGAATGTCATCTTGGTGTGGTTTTGACAAGGCCCAATCCCTCTGTCCCATAACAGCCAGCCTCTTCCTGGCTGAAATGTAGGATGCTTCTGATTCTCACATTAAGAAATAGTAATAATAATAATGGTGACATTTGGGAAAACTTGCAGCCAGACATATAAAACATTAAAATCCTTAACTTGAGAAGGGGGTAAGTCTTACTTAGCGGTTGTGTCTACATGAGATACTTACTGCACAGTAGCATTGCGTGGCAGCAAGGGTGATGCAATGCTACTGCACGGTAGTCATGGACTACTGCACAGTCAGCGTCACAAAAAAGCTGTTCGGTGATGCTACTGCACAGTAACTTCAGTGTAGATGTGGGCAGCATGCCTCAGTTAATTAGCTAGTCGTTTCTTACTATGGCAAGTTTATACAGATAAATCATGCAGAAAGATTGTTCTTTTTGTGCATGTTTTTGTTTGCACCCACATTGTCCTAAATCAGATTAATTGAGAGTCTCATGAGACTCAGGGAGCAATTTTATTTGAGTTGGCTTGGGTTTGTCTTCCTGGCTGGAAAACACTAAGGAAAGTAATTATATGTAGCACTGCTTCTGGCCAGGGGGAACTGTCTACTGGGACTCTCTGAGCCATTTTATTCCCATCAGCCTTCTGAAAGAAAAGGCAAGATCCCATTAATTGAGAGTAAATTTAAGTGAAGAGCTGCTGTAAGCCCCTGGGTGGAATGATAAGAAGTGTCTGGGATTCTGCCAGCAAGGTAATAGTCACTCTGCTTGATGTCTTGTCTTCTTTTACATACCCATACCACCAGCTCTTTTGTTAATGCCTAACTATGCATACCATGTCTTCACCTTGGCCTATCTGAGCATATGTCATCTGTCATTCCTGCTTCTTTGGAGTCCTGTAGAAGGGCAGGATTGAGTCTCGCTGATAGATCAGAGGACCAGCAGATCATGTTAGATTTTCAGTTCCTGTTCATTTCCTGGTTTTATATTTACATATTTTTTGTCCATCCTAATGCCTACATGAAATGGGCCTTAGGGGCATGAAGAGCCTGGAGGCCCCAGACACATAGGGCATTTATACACCTATTTCTTTTCCAGTGACGTGCTGGAGATCTGCTGCTTCAGAACAGACTCGATTAATCAAGTCTAAGGCTGTGTGAAGCTTCAGTCCCTAATTCGATTTGGCGGAGATTTGGCCCGATTTGGTGACCGAATCTCCAAATCCAAATCGAATCATAGGACCCTTCAATCTCTCTCAAACAAATTGGAACCCTCTGAATCGATTCAGAAGGATTCAGAAAGATTCAGCGAGTCAGACATAGACACAGCTTTAAATGTTTTTACTACATACCTCTAGGTAGCAGGTGGCTCGTGAATGCTGTGATGCTGGGGCTCATGGAGCATCCCACAGGAGTGCAGGGGGGCTCCCCAGCGTACTTGGCAGCAGACCTGGAAGTGGACCAGAAGCACTTCCAGGTCTGCCAGGGAGTGCACAGGGGGCCCCCCCTCGTACCACCCCAGCTCGGCAACTGGTACCTCCTGTGTCTAGGGGGGTCACCCGGGGTCCCCCCGTGTGCGATCGCCGAGCCTGGGGAGGTGCGGGGGCCCTCCCCAGCACGTTCCCTGATGGACCCAGAAGTGGACCAGAAGTACTTCTGGTCCACTTCCGGGTTTGCCATCGAGCACATGGGGCACTCCTGTGGAGCACTCCATCTGCCCGAGCTTCACAGTGTTTACAGTCTGTGTCTGGTACCTTGAGGTATGTAAAAA